CACAATATTCTAATTTTATGCAGCACCTGTACAATAATAAAAATTAATAGTTTTTCAGAATGAAGATCATTTAACTTTATCCAACTTGTTTTTTTTAAATATTTAATAAAATCTCGTGCACCTTTTCTCCTTGAAACTGCTCACATCCCGCTCAGAGTTATTAGAAGTGATGGAGCTGCATGTTAAACCACAGAGGCTGAGTTTTACACACATGGCCCTGACATGTGTGTGTGGACATGTTAAAGACATGTTAAAGTGGCATGTTGTGCTGAGGTTTAAATTCGACAGCGCTCAGTGGCGGCTGCGCCTTGTTTTGATAGAATAATTCTGGGTTTCATTATGTTGCTGCCAGCCTGCGGGGCTCATTTGAATTTCTTCTAAATCCAAAGTGTGTTAAGTAGCACCTCTGTGAAAGGAGGGGGGGACGTTCCAGACCTTCTAATGTGAAAATGTGTTTTTGATTCCTGGCTTGACATGCAGTCAGAAGGCCGTGTGTGTGTGAGAGTGTGTGATCCTGGCTGTAATCAGTAATTACCAGGATCGGCTGATGGATTCTGCTTCTAATGAATGATTGATGAGCGCTGAAAGAGAGCGGCGGGGCCTTTTCTGTCCTCTGACAGCCTGATGTTGGCGCTGAATTGAAACCATTTAAGTAGAAAATGACTGGATGCAGGAAAAGGCTCAATAGCAGGTACCTCTGTGACATTTTAAAATGCATTTTCTGCTCGGAGCATTCATTCGGCTGAAACCTGAGCCGCAAGGAAGAAAGCGCACACTTTAATGCCTAAAGAGCTTTTTGATTTGTTCTGTTTTTGTGTGTGCAGCCAACAAGTCGGGTTTTAACTCTGCAATCCCTGTCATGTGGGCGTCACGGACACTTTTTACACTCTGGCTCCTGATTCTGGATGTTTACTTTGCAGCACCGGCTCTCCTGAAATGGCTGAAACTCTCATTTTTCCACTGGTCCAAACATCCCGCAAACATCTGGCTCTGAAACGTAACGGGAAAATCTGAATTCAGGCCCACATGAAAGAACTGTGCAGGAGCTGGAGGGAGTTTGACGCTCCTGTGGGGTAAACACCGACTGTTGATGAGGGTGATCACGGCTGCAAGAGTGTTCACAGCCAGTTTCTTAAAATGAAAATCTCTCTGAGACTTCTGCACCTGTCCACAGGTGCTCCAGCTGTCTTAGGTTCCACGTTTCGGCTCCTTTAGACGTTTAACAGGATCTGAGCTCATAGGCAACATCAGACAGACCCACTGTCTGGTTCTGACCCATTCTTGGGGGCTTTTAGCTGTATACGAGTCATTATCCTGTTAGAGCAACTAAGCTCTCTGACAATGGGCAATGCATTCTGGTCCAGAATGCCTTGATAGTCTTAAGATTTCATTAGATTCAAGACACCCAGATGCAGCACAGCAGTCCCAGAACAGAACCGAGCCTCCTCGGTGTTGGTGCCATGTTTATTTCATCTGTGTTTCCATGAACATAGAGCTGAGGGGACCAGCTTTGTGATGATTGGTGTCCTCGGTCGTCTTCCATCAAGTCCACTTTGTCTTAACGGATGGTGCGATCTGACTCTGATGACCTTTGACCTCCAAGTTAACCTCTAATCTCTTTTCTGGACTCGGTTACCATTTGTATTGTTGGTCTATTCGAATTGTCCTCTTGTGGACACGTCCAGGAAGGTTGTCTCTTGTTCGGTGGACTTTAACATGTGAGCAGCTGCACTCAGAGGAACATGGAGCTGCTTGGAGATATCGTCTTTCTAAGCTCCTGAGATAACTGTCCTCAGCTTCCATGTTCAGTGTGTTACACACCATGACAGCAAACAGCCCTGTGACTACCTGTCACCCTTTAAACAGGCACTGCTGAATAAAAGACACCTTAGTTACATGAAACACATTTTAATATGCACAAGATTAATAATATTTAGTAAACATTTTTGTCAAGGCCAGTTCCATTATTTTGTTTTGAAATATTTTTTAATTAAACCACAATTTTAAAAAAGGGTTTTTCCTCTCAGATTTTAGATTTTTCTTTAAACCTCATCTTCATAGCTGCACAAAAATTTGTGGCATGCAAGCTCAAGACATTAATTTGTTTGTGCTGCTTTACGAAAGTTTAGTGCCTGTTGTTTTGGCTCTGTCTGTTCGCCACAACACTACAATTCATTGAGATGTGAAGAAATGCACTTTATTTTAGAGTTTAAACAGCTCAGAGCAGTTTGTTTGCTCGACCAAACTTTCTCTTGGTTTCATCCGTGCTTCAGACTTTAGATGTTGTGTTAAAAGCTAAGAGCTCGATCAGAAACTTAAATTAATATAAAAACGTAGGTTAATACCCATACATCCATTTGACTGCTACATGTTTATTGAGCTGCTGGTTTCCTGTCAGTCATCACTCATTAACAAATTTCTGCTTTCAGTATCGAGTGATTAAAAAAAAAAAAAAAAACGACTGCGCTTTACATGTTCAGACATCGTCTGAAAAGTCTGTTTGGCTGTAAAATTTGTCATATTTTTTAAAAAATTGTGAGAGTAAACATTTAAAGTGCGTGCAGCTGCGGCAGCTTCGTGAAGGGATGAGGAAAAATGAAATAAACTTCATGAAATCACCTGTTTAAAGAGGTCGTTTAGTTTGACCTTCGTCAGGTTTCCTCGCTGCTCCGGAGGGAGGAAGATGATTGAACGCAAACAACACCCATGGTGTGTGTGTGTGTGTTTGAGGCTGTTACTAAATCTGTGGGGGTTTGGTCAGAGCTGCAGATAGTTTCATGGTGTGTGTGTGTGTGTGTGTGTGTGTGCCTTTGAAATGAATAAAACAAGTCTCTGTCTGAAATGAATAAATGTGACAATAATAACATGCGTTCAGCGACAGCAGCTCAGATAAAGGTGTTTTTCCTCTCTCCTCACACCAGCAGACAGTTTCTAAAGAATAAAAAAAGATCAGAAAATAAATTAAACCCATTTTCTGAACTATTCAGAACCTGAAAAAAGAAATATAACTGGAATAAAATGTATATATTTATGTCCTGATGCATGCTCAATAATAAAAAAAAAAATCCAAATAAGTTAAATCTGGTCCTCTGGACATTCAAAAAAACAAAACAAACAAAAAAATTGAAATGTTTTGGCTTTCATCCGAAACACTTCTTCAGTCTGAGGTGCTGTATTCAGTGGTATTTATTTATGCATTCTGAAATGTGAAAATATGATTTGATCAGTGGAGAAAAGCTGCAGAATCACAATTTTAGTGTCAGGACTTCCTGTTGGAGCAGATTCGATCTGAATGATGTAAATACTACAAATACTACAATTTAATTAAATAGATACAATTCTTTTTTTTCCTAGTTTTCTTAAAACAGCACGCGTCAATGAATATATAATTATGAGTTAATTGGTTCATAATGAATCAGAAGCAGCTCAAACACAAATATTTAAGAAAACTCTTTAATTTTCTGTAATGACAGAAAGAGTTCGGGAGGACGGGTCCAGTTCAAACCAGTATGAGTTCAGCTGAAACAAGCACGTGAGTATTTGATCATTATTAAACCGAACTTAATGATATTTAAAAAAAAAAAAATCAAAAACGAGATGAAAAATGTAGTTTTATTGTTTTTTTAAGCTGCAGAAAATTAAAATAAACGAGTTGAGTTTCTCTTTAAGTAATAGAAACATTTAGAAAATCAAATAAAACCCGATTGCATTAAAAACTTCTTAATAAAAGTCCTTTATAAATTTTAATTTTGGTCAAATTTTCTTAAGAGAAAGGATCGAAGTTTAGTTTAAAAACGGTCAGAAATTAACTTTATAAATAACAAAGAGTAAATAAATAAAAGCCGCTGACGTGACAAATGGAGTTGATATTAAAGTCAAACAGGAAATGTTTGACAGCTCGGAACCGACCCGGAACCAGACTCTCCTGCTGAGAACTATAATCTGAGGACTTTAATCACTTCTCACCTCAGAACGGAACATTTTCACCTCGTCATTTTATCTGTGGACCCCCGCGGAGTCTCAGACACAACCAGCGGATTCTGGTCCAATCCACGTTCCCTGCGCGGAACTCCTGGGTCCTCAGGACCGGGTGTAGTCCTGGATCCCCTCAGGCCGGGTCCATCACCCCCTCAGCGGTCTGAATGAGGCGGTAAGGGGTCGTGGTGGTCCCGGGAAGAGGACGACGGGTAACAGATAAATAATGCGCATCTGGTTTATTTTGGTTTCTGCGCACGCGCACAAACATAAAATCCCAGAGAACATGTTTTGGTTCAGAGATTAACTTCTGAGATTATTTTCTGAATCATCTAAATGTTTGAGGATCCTGCTGGACCTGATGGGGGTCCGTCTCGACCCCCCTCCGCGCTCTTCAACCCCATGCGCACCTGATGGCCTCCCTGACGGGAAGTAATCCGATTACTCCATAGGAACATTCTCAACAGTCTGATTATCTTAATTCAATTAATTCTGAATACACACACACACACACACACACACACACACACAGACCTGCGGCCCTTCACGAGCTCGCACGAGGACTCTGCGCCTGCGCCGTGACGTCACGGCCTATAAGAGCAGCCCCGCGCGCAGACGGCCTCCTAAACCTCCAGGTCGGGTCCAGACCAGGAGCGCGCTCTGCTGCACGTTCAGAGGAGAGAAGAGCAGCCGCGTCACCATGTCTGCTTCAGTCTGAGCCGGTTCCGATCCATTCTGGTCCACTTTGAACTGGTTCTGATACATTTAGAACCAGTTCCGACTCGTTATGAGCTGGTTTCGATCCATTCTGTGAAGATTCTGATCCATATGGTCCTGGTTCTGATCCGTTTTGAGCTGGTTCCGGTCCTTCTCTCTAAGCTGGTTCTGCTCTTTTATAGTCTGAGCTGGTTCCGACTCGGTCCGCTCCACATGTCGCCTCCTGTCTGAACTTTATCCTCTAAAGTTCTGAGACCAGTTTCCTGACGTCCCGGTTCCGACCCGTTCCCCAGCGCGCGGACCTCGTCATGCCCTCCGGGATGTTCAGCATCGACAGCATCCTTTCTGGACCGGTTCTGTCCGGACGGTCGAACTGCAAGGAGCCATTGCTGCTGCACCGAACCGGGCCGCTGGTTCTGCCCGGACTCACGGACTCCATGTACGCGGACTACAGCGGACTGTCCCCCCCAGGGGTCCACTCTGTGGGCGGAACCAGGTTCGGATACACGGGCTGTTACTACGGTCAGCTGCAGGTCCAGGGGCCCGGAGCCGGGCCGCCGTGCTGCGGGGCGGTACCGGGTCTGAGCCCGCAACAGTGCCCCTGCTTCCCCGCAGGTAGGAGAACCAGAACCAGAACCTCTGGACCCAGTTCTTCAGCTTCACACCTGAAATAATTTGGATTTTTAAGATGAACCTATTTGTTAAAAAGTTAAATAGATTAAAAAGACGAGTTTGTTTGTTTCGAATTGATTAAAAAATATTAATAATAATAATAAATATTTTTTCTATTTATTAATTTTTATTTTAAAAATGATAAAATGAATAAAAACACAAAATGTTTGACGCACGATCTGCGCCAGTTTTTATCTTGAACTTCATCCGATGTTGCTTCCTGTTCCGTCTGATCAGAACCTGCTGGTTCTGGACTCGGGCTCAAACAGAACCGAGCCTAAAAGTCGGATCGTTTGGTTTATCCTCTCTTCTGAACTGCTCCTTCTTTCCACCCTGCAGGCTACGACAGTCCGGGCTCGGTTCTGATCTCGCCGGTCCCGCACCACATGATGTCCTACATGAACGTGGGCAGCCTCTCGCGCACGGAGCTGCAGCTGCTCAACCAGCTGCACTGCAGGAGGAAGAGGAGGCACCGGACCATCTTCACCGACGAGCAGCTCGAGGCTCTGGAGGGTCTCTTCCAGGAGACCAAGTACCCGGATGTTGGCACGAGGGAGCAGCTGGCCCGGAAGGTCCACCTGAGGGAGGAGAAGGTCGAGGTCAGAACCGGACTGGGTTTTACTCACTAATAATTATCATGACGTTTAAAATGATAAAATAGATTTTATAATAATCTGATTCAAATCACTAAATTATTATTATCTTAATACAATAATAATAATAATAATAATAATAATTGCAATTGACATGTTTTATAGAATACTTTTAGACAGTTTATTATTCTTAATAAATATCATAATATTACTAAATACTTTGCTGCAAATAAAGAATAAAACAATTTAAAATACAAATAATATGTAATAAAAAATCCATTTGGAGAACTTTTGAATAAAAAAAGAAAATTTGTTATAATATGTATTATATTTATATATATAATATATAATGTTATTAATATATTACATTATAATTATATTAATTATTACAAAAGTACATGAGTAAATCTGCTTAATAAAATTATATTTTTAATATTAA